CCCCTCCTGAGTGTCAGTTTCCTCATCTGTAAAATGGAGAGGATAGACAGGATACACTCTAAAATCACTCTAGTTTTAAATTTATGATCCTCGGGAAATTATTGCCCATACTGTTGAATTGGAACTTAGCCCATATTTTAAATAATATGAGATAATCTGTGTAAAGCACTTTGCAAAACTTGAAGTACTATATAAATGCTATTATTGTTATTGTTTTCTTTTTATCTTTGGGCATCTTTTTATATATATGTTCTCTCCAGCTTTATCTTCTAACCCCCCCAAACTAGGCCATAAAGACCTCCCAGATAAGGACTGCATCCTCTACCTTCCTAATCCACTGGACAAGCACCATGTTGTCCATAAAGGAGCCACTCAGTGAATGATTGTTGACTGATGGATGGACCAGAGTGTCTAGAAACAGAGACTCCATATGGGATGGACCTATCTTGGACTGATTCCTCTAGGTTCTATCAGAGCAGCACCTCTATGGAAGAGAGGTACAGATATGAAACTCTATATGGAGTTAGAAGTATCTGATTTCTCCATGTTCCACCAGAGCAGCACCTCCCTGGAAGAGAGGTCTACACATGGATACTCTATGTGGGATGGATGTATCTGTGGGTGATTCCTCTATATTCTACCAAAATGGCACCTCCTTGGAAGAAAGGTCAGGAAGCCCATCTCCCTCAGGTAGGTATCTCTTTATTGATCCAGTAATACAATGTTTTGTGATATAGGTAGATACAAGGGTTACACAGCAGCAATGGGGGAAGATGCAAACCAGTTGCATATTAATTGGAACAAAGACAATAAAATTAAGATGCCACTTCAGGCCCCAGCAAGTAGTACAAGGGCTCTGTTCCAGATCAATCAGTCTGGTAGCAAAGACCCTAACCCCCTCTTTCCTAAAGTCTGGGATTGTGATTCTGCAGAAATAGGAAGAAAGTGGCTTTGGTGCTTCCCACAGCCCAGAGAGTGTCATAGCTTTGGGAATCTTGATCCTTTTACAAGGAATTTCTTGATACTTCCCTCCAGCAGTGCCTCCTGGAAGCTGAGGGTGGTGGAACTGGAGGGATAGTCAGTAGGTCCTTGGGAAACAAGAGGGTCAAACACTGTACTCACTTGAGGGCCCTGCCCTTGATTTTAATGGTGAGTCCTGCCCACTACTAGTACGATCTTGTCCCTCTTCACTGGATTGGCCAGGGGCGATTTTTAGTCCTGGATCAGGGAGCAGAAAGGCACTACTTGTGGGATCACTGTAAATATGTGTACAGGATGAGCAGCTGTTCAGTGTATGCTAGGGCCAGGTGAACCTAGTGTGGTGGAAGCAGGGCTCTGGTTAGCAGGGGGTACCTGCGGCTGCCTGGTACATCCACCATGATGACAATGAGCTCTCATTCAGGTAACAGAGAGGGCCAGCCTCAGGGTTAGATGCGAAATTGTGTGTGTGTGGGGGGGGGGGTGGGGACTCTCTGAATGAAGAGCTATCTTCCCAAAGCACCCAAACATGAGCATGTTTAACTGGGACAGTCCTCTTCAGTTTGCTTTCCCTACCTCATCCCAACATCAGTGGCCTTCTCCACCCATTTTCGCCAATGTACTTTAAGCAGTTTTCAAAAACTAGAAGATGCAGAGCTGGTGCTGATCTGTGTTAGTGAAGGGAGTTGTGTCATGGGGAGTTTCCTGCACCAATAAAATTACAGTTCTAGCTCCAAAACCAAACTTTAGGGTGTACTTTCAATTGCTGCATTTTCTCTCTAAAGTGAAGACATTCTTCCACATCAATTCCCACTGGGCTGCCACATGCCCCAAGAGGAGGTGGGGAGGTAAAGGGTCTTTTAAAAAGGCCCCTTGCTTTCAGTTGAAACCAGAGACAGGACCCTGAGGATGGCATGGCCATTTCTTTCTACTCCAGTCAGGAAGAGCATTTCTCTCTGAAGTCATTCCTCTAAAGGTTTCTGAGTCACCTCCAATACGGTACAGTCCAAACCAAGAAGCATTTTTGATGATCAAATAGACCTACTCTCTAATGGTTTCCATAAGCAGGAAGTTCCTTTTTGTCTCTTCCTTCCTTGACACGTCAAGTACATAGTTGGCCCTAGCCATGTTGAATATGATGGGGGAATAAGAGAATATTTGCTATACCAGTAATGATACTAGCTCCACACCCTCTCCTGGGCAGTCACTACCAGATTTATGCACTAACTCCCACATGGTAATTTGCTCAAGTCCCATCGGCATGGGCATCCCCAGACCCATCTGCCCTCCTCATGGCCTGCACTTTCACCCTCCCAAGGCTAGTCCAGTTAGACTCCCTGTTCAGTGGAGAAAGGCTTTATGGGAAAGAAGAACAGTAAGAAGGGTGTTGCTGCTTCTTTATCATCAATCACCACCACAGTCATCACCATGATCATGACCACCACAACCACCACTACCACCTTAATCATCATCCCCATCACCATCTTCCCCCTAAGAACTAAAAAGTTTAGTCCCATTAATTTAGGACTGGGGACTACGGCAGCAGCCTTTGGGGACAAGGATAGGTAGGGTTCTAGGATCCCTATTGGGACTAGCCAAGGCAGCAAGCAGAAAGTCCTTCGAAAGCTGGATATGGACAGGTCAGATCCAGGAGGAATCCTAGTGGAGCTGAAGGAGGCACGGTTGTCTTTGGAGAGATGCTTCTTCCTTGACAGGGCCCTGGGCTGCTTTGGGCAGTCCCTTTCCCCAGAACTGTTGTGTGGCAGCATTTCTAGGAAGTGGACTCTTTTCAGTAGGGGCTCTGGTTTCCTGGTAGCCCTGGAGGCCCCGGAAGACCTGGGGGACCCTGTATGCCAGGCTCGCCCTTTGGGCCCATGGGCCCAACCTGGCCTGGTGACCCTGTCTTCCCAGCGATCCCTGGCTTGCCCTGGGGTCCTGGTGGACCTGGAGAACCTGGGGGTCCCTCTGGCCCCTGGGGTCCCATATCACCCTTGGGGCCTGGCTGTCCTTTCAGTCCTGCTGATCCAAAGCTGCCTTTAGATCCTTTCAGGCCTGGGAAGCCTTTGAGGCCACTGGGTCCCCTTTCACCTGCTGGCCCTGTTTTACCAGGCTGACCCTGAGGGCCCTGAGGGCCAGGGGGGCCCATAGTGCCATTGTCTCCTTTGGGACCCCTGCTCCCATAGGGTCCCTTTGCGCCCACGTCGCCTTTGAGTCCTCTTGGTCCTGGAGGTCCAGGGATGCCTAGGATTGGAAGAAAAGGGGAGGTCAAGACATCAGACTTTGCTTAATATTATAAAGAATGTAGAATGTGACATCTAGAAGATGCCTAGGAGATCATCTAGTCCAACTGTCCCATTTTACAGATGAGGAAACTGAGGCCCAGAATGGTGAGGGTTTACCCAACCGTGCTGGTACCCCAGCTATCATCATGACATGCTATCCTGTTGCTTCCACTGTTGATATTGCTTGCTAGTCTACCCTTCCCCTCTGATCTGGACCTTTACCTCTAGCTCCCACTCACCTGATTGGTGAGGATTCATCATATGGTCCCAGCCTCATGCCCGATTCCACTGCACCACACCTATCTTCCTACTGGGCCACCTCCCCTCCCCTCTGCTCTCAGGTCCACATTTAGCTTTGCAAACACTAATCAAATCAACAATCTGTCATTCCTGGAAAGAGAGTATCGATTGACCTATTAAGCTACTCGCCATCCCTGTGACTTCCCAAACCAAAACACCCCTCCCTGGCTACCACTTCTCTATCCATGTTGTTTTCTTCTGTTAGAATATAAGCTCCTTGAGGGCAGGAGTTGTTTTTGCTTTTGTCTTTGTATCCCCCGTGTTTAGCACTATGCTCAGCACATGGTAAGAACTTAACAAATATTGGGAAAGACTAACATGGATCGACACAAAATGAAACGAACAGAGCGAGGAAGACATTGTACACAGTAACAGCAATGTCATATAATGATCAACTGTGAATGACTTAGCTATTCGCAGCAATACAATGATCCAAGACAATCCCAAGTGACACATGGTGAAAACTGCTATCCACCTCCAGAGAAAGAACTCATGTTGTATGAATACAGACTGAAGCATGCTATTTTTCACTTTCTTTCTTTTTCTATTTTTGTTCAAATCTTCTTGCACAAAATGACTAATATGGAAATGTTTTATGTGATTGCACATGTATAACCTATATCAGATTGCTTACTGTCTCAGGGAGGGGGAAAGGAAGAAGGGAGGGAAGGATAGAATTTGGAACTCAAAACTTAAAGAAAATGAATGTTAAAAATTGTACATGTAATTGGGGAAAATAAAACATTATTAAAAGTTAAAAAAAAGAACTTAACAAATACTTTATCTTTTATTGATCTATGAAATGACTTGCCTAGGGTCATGGAGGCAGGGAGTTGTAAAATCAGACTAAGAACTCAAGTTTTTCTGACTTTAGTCTATAATAATAATAATAATAATAACAATAATAACATTTATATAGTACTTTAAGGAATGTAACATACTTTATGTAGATTACCTCATTTGAACTTCATGACAACACTGTGACGTCAGCACTATTATTATTTCCATTTTACAGATGAGGAAACTGAGGTTGAGAGTGAGAAATTGACTTGTCCAGGGTCATACAGCTAGAAAGCATCTGAGGGAGGATTTGAACTTGGTTCTTTCTGATGCCAAGTCAGCCACTCTGATCCTTAGCATTTGTTCTACTAGTTTCTTTGGTACTTTTCCATGAATAACATCTTCCCCCTCACCCTCACATATTAGTATTTTATTTTTTCCAATTACATGTAAAGATAGCTTTCAGCATTCACTTTTATGAGATTTTGAGTTCTAATTTTTTTTCCCTTCTTCCCTGTCTCCCTCCCCAGGATGGCATGCAATCTGATAGAGGCTATGCATGTACAATCATATTAAACATATTTTCACATTACTCATGTTGTGAAAGAAGAATCAGAATAAAAGGGAAAAACTATGAGAAAGAAAAGAAAAGAGAGAAAATAGTATACTTTGATCTGCATTCAGACTCTGTAGTTCTTTCTCTGTATGTGGATAGCATTTTTCATCTTGAGTCTCTTGGAATTGTCTTAGATCCTTGTATTACTGAGAAGAGTAAAGTCTATCAAAGTTGATCATTGTATAATGTTGCTGTTACTGTGTACAATGTTCTCCTGGTTCTACTCACTTCACTTAGCATCATTCCATACAAGTCTTTACAGGTTTTTCTGAAGTCCGCTTGCTCATAATTTCTTACAGCACAACAGTATTCCATTACATTCATATACCACAATTTGTTCAGCTATACCCCAATTGATGGATATCTCTTCAATTTCTAATTCTTTGCCACCACAAAAAGAGCTGCTACAAATATTTTTGTACATGTGGGTCCTTTTCCCATTTTTGTGATCTCTTTGGGATACAGCCCTAGATATTGCTGGGTCAAAGGGTATGCACAGTTTTATAGCTCTTTGGCCATAGTTCCAAATTGTTCTATGATTAACATCTTATTTACATCTATCAACAAAAGGTGGGTTGGCCTCACCATACTGCTTTCTGTAAAGGTTCTTTTACAGACCATTCTTGTGGTCAACTGTATCCCATCCTTTCTGAACACACATACACGGCAGAGGACAAACTATTCCTTTGAACTGGAGAACAAAGGAGGGAGTAAGGGTTCTCTGTGGGACCTCAAAGAATGACAGAAAAGCAAAGAGGAAACTAGCAACCAAGAAGACCCATTTATTACTTGCATGGGGGCCTTTTCTTTTTGCTATCTAAGGAATGGGAGATCATGGGATTTAGGGACCTAAGACAACATCTAAGGTTTCTTATTACACATGAACATGTTTTTAAAAGAAAAACATGCAGAATTACAAAGTAGGAAAAATAGGTATAGACTGCTAGAGTCAGAGAACCTGGGTTCAAATTTTGGCTCTGATACCACCTGAGTGACCTTGGGCAAGTCACTTTACCTTTATGGGTCTCAGATTCTTCATTTGTAAAATGAGGGGGTTGGACTATAGGGTCTCTAAGGTAAACTTTAGCTCTAAATCTATGATCCTTAAGCATCTTAGAAACCAGACAATCTAATGATCCAACTCAGTGAGGTCAAACTCAATAGAAACTTGGGGCTGCTAAGCCATACACAAGGATCCCTGAGGGCTGCTGCATATTGACTTAGAAAACCACATATTAATATTATTTATGATTTACTATATTTTTATTTATTTTGTCAAATATTTCACAATTCCATTTTAATCTGGTTTAGCCCAACTCTGGAGTCCTGTGGATGAACTGGAGGCATATTTGACAGCTCTTATCTAACCCATTTGTTTTACAAAAGGCGAAATAGAAACAAAGAGATGTTTGGTGATGCCCATGGTCACCAACTGTTCCGTCCAATACTCTCATTTTTTACAGGTGAGGAAAATTGCCTCTACCATATTCTTCTGTATTATATATTTCCCATATATGTATGTACATATTAATTGTTTATTTGCACTCCAGATCTTCTGACTCCAAAATTGAAAGCTCTTTTTATGGCTTCAGGTCCCCCTGAAACCTTCCCCTGCCCATCCCAATGCTCAGAGAGCACTTCCTTTTAACTCCCTTAGAACTCATCTTCTCTATGATTCTCATGGCCCTCAGCCCAGCTTTCCTTGTGACATCACTAATATTTTTGTGTTTATGTTCTGTCTCTCCAGCTAGAACAGGATAAGTTCTGTGTCCTGTACTCCTTGTACTTCAGAGCTTAGTGCAATGACCCATGCACATTTTAAAAAATTGGACCTGTGACCCACCATGAGGGCCTGTGGGAATGAGGACAGAAGCTAAGGGCCCAGGGTATAGGGGATAGGGTAGTGTGAGTCTTCTGATGTCATTGTATACATGTATTAAAAAGGGAAGAGGTATAGCTTTGAGAGAAGGCGTCATTGGTCAGATGGAGAAGGAAGAGGGGTAGCTGAGCCAAGAAACCACGGCAAAAATTTTTTCGAGTGGGGAAGGTAGTAGGAGAAGGAATTTTCATAAATAGGCATGTGAGGTTTGGGGATATTCAGGCTCCTTGGTCCTAGGAGCCAAACATAGGTGACATAGAGCAGGAACATGAGGACCACATAGAAGAAGGCAAAGCAACCCAGGTTGGGAGAGAGTGCAATGGATTGGGACCCTCCTCACCACCTCACTTCAGAACCTCCATTGTGGTACAGAGACCCTGTGTGGTACCCTGGAGGAGGTCCAAGGAAAAGCACAATGCCAATGTCAATGAATAATTCACCAAACCAGTTAGCAGAATCAACATTGCATTTGACCATGATTGTGAAAGAGATGGGAAATGTGAACAACAATCTTACAATTTATGGAGATTAAACTCCATTTCACTATAATCCTTGAGACTTAATGCAAATGTTTTTAGGATTTCAATAGAAAACAATGAGGGCGGAATTAAAGAGTACTTAGAAACTTAAGGTAGATGTTGACTATCTTTTAGCAGACCTGCTTCTCAAAAGTACTCGGACAAAACTTTGTCAACAGAATTGAACCTATAAAAATAACTAATATTTTTTGCTTAGAAATTTTTTCCAATTTTCCAGTTTTATGTTTTAAATAAAATACTCCATAAGTCTCCCCCCCCCCCCCCCCAATTGGATCTATGATTTCACTGATATGTGGAGGCTTGCAGTAAGGAACCTCTCTGTACCAATGCACACTCAGTTAATGAGTATTTGTTAAATGCTTCCCATGTGCCAGGCACTGTGCCAACTGCTGGGAATATAAAAGAGACAAAAGATAGTCCCTGCCCTCAAGGAACTTACAGTCTAATGAGGGAGACAATAAGCAGACAAATAGATACAAATAAGCTAAAATTATATACACATACATATAAACATATATAGTTAGGAAATAATTAATTATGGCAGGGAAGGTACTAGAATTAAGAGGAGCTGGGAAAGGCTTTCTGTAGAAGGTAGGATTGAGTTAGGACTTAAAGGGAGCCAGGGAAGCCAGCAGGTAGAGATTATGTGGGAGAGCATATATCAGACGTAGGGGACAACTAGAGAAAATACCCAGAAGGGAGAGATGGAGTGTCTTATTTGTTGAATCAGGAGACCAGTGTTACTGGATTGAAGAAAAAGTGGCAGGGATCAAGGTGTAGGGGGACTGGAAAGGTAGAAGGGGCCTAGGTTATGAAGGGCTTTGAAGGCTAGGCCCACTCTCCCT